GCCTAAAGGTGCTTCGAGTGGTCGGGAGTATCGGGGAAAAGTTGGGTCTAGGGATTAGGGTTGGGAACATCGAACTGATGCCAGGCATGGTCGTGTCTGCTGCACTGAAGAATCGCACCTACCACGGCTGGACGGTCACGGCGCCGCTGTTCCCAGGCGTGAATAGCTCCGTTTCGAGTGAGGTGCCTAGGATTCAGGGTTCATGGTCTCTTTTACCAAGGCGTTGCGGACTTTTTCTGGCGAGTTCTAGACTTTCTGGTTGTAGGCACACGCCCGACTACGGGGTCCCTGAACGCTAAGTCTCAAAGGGGAAAAGGAGGGACCCTTAATGGGGACCCCTACCCTATAATGGGCTATATAAATAGGGATATAGTATCAAGGGTTTGTACCTAGGGGTCCTTATTAAGGGTCCCCCCATTTTCCCTTAGATAGTCTTCACTGTAAGCACCGAGCCATCCGAGGACCTCCAATGTGAGGGACCGGCAGCCGTTCCACTACCTGGTCTGAGACTCGGGAGCTGTGTAGGGTTCGGGGTGCATGTGTCTAGGGCTGAGGATGAGGATTTAGGGTTCAGAGTTCAGGGTTTTGATGTATAGTTTAGGGTTAGGATTTACGGTTTAGGGTCTAAGGTTTCAGGATTCTGAGGGGTTTTGGACTCTGCTGGAGGATTACCAGCTCCTAGAAACCATCGAAAGAGCCTCCCTTGTACAGGAACCATACATCCCTTGAGTCGCTAAGGTCATTGCGCAGAAAGTGCCGGCAAAGGTCGTTCTATCCATCACGCCTGGTCAAGAAGATTATGCGGGCGGGTATCAGACCCTTGGGTGTTAAGGAGTTAGCGCCTTAGGGTTTGGGGTTTAGGGTTGAAGGTTCCAAGTTAGGGGTTCGGAAGATTATGCAGGCGGGTATCAGACGCTAGGCATCCCTTGACGATTTGTAGGGTTGGGGTATCAGGCCCTTGACGATTTACTGGGTTTTTAGGGTTTAGGGGGGTATCAGACCCTTGGGGATTTACTGGGTTTAAGGTATCAGACTGAGACGAAGCAACCAACCTTCGTCGTTTTGCAGAGTTGGTAGGCTTCACCTGCTTGAGCCTGAAAGTCTGAGCCCAGATTGCTGTTGTCATATGGGTGGATGTCAACATGATGGTCCCTTTCCCTTTTTGGGTATCCCAAATATTAGGTGCCGTACTATATAAGGGACCCAAAAAGGGATTACAAATTTGACAACCACCCATATACGGGCTAAATAAAAATACTAATGCTAGTTTGGGGGCTCCCTGTTATAGTTCAAGCATAATATCCTCGAAAACCCTATTCTAGTTATTAAGGCCCGTGCGCCAAGGAACCAGTGGACCATGGCAAGCCAGCAATACTGGCAGCAGCCATCACCATGGCAGTATCCTCCACCTGCCTGGACACCTCCGTCCTACCCTGCGTCCTATGGCGCCTTTCCACCCCCTCATCCCTACCAGACACCGTGCCTGGGTGCTCCTAGAATTGCAAAATTTTGCGTTTTCTGGAACTATTATGCTCATCGGCACGATTGTGGTTCTTCGTTGTTGCAAAACCAAGGTATTATAAGCCTCCTGAAGCCCACTTTCATCAACCCGTGTGGTACTAGTTGATGGTACCTACGATCCAACGCGTCAAGACATCCACAAGAGTTTGGACCAGCATCCGTTCTTTGGAGTGCAAAGACCCATTTTTGCGGGAGGGTTGGCCTCGAGGGCGCGGATCTTTCAACGTCCCGTAAGGGGTAGTCCAGGTAGTCACAAGTGCCTAGTTGACTGCCAACGGGATAACTCGGTATTCAGGGTGATGAGGTCCTTGAGAGTTCCCACACATTCCAGCTGTCCTATTTTGAAGCGGAGCCAAGGATACGTGGCCCTTGTTGCTGGTAAGGCTGCATACCCGACACCTCACAACAGCCCAGCGGCATGGCACCCGGAGTTTGCATCGCAGACCCGGCTTGCCCATTTAAGCACTGGACTTTAAGGTTTAGGATCTATATATTCGGCCTCACAAGCATTTCAGGGCTGTGTAGTTCAGGATTAATTCATGCATGCATCCCGCATCAATACCAACCCCTGGTGCTCTACAGTGATATTCAATCTGCCTGCTGCGCCCTAAACCCAAAATCCAGAAGTTGCAACCCCTTTGAACCGCGATTCCGATGCTTTCCGAAGTACCAGGGGGGAGAGTCAACCGTGCTTGCTCTCGCCTGCCTGCTGCCTCAAAAGGGTGATGGCAAGGCACCTACAAGCCGGCGCCGACTGAAAAAGCTGCGAAAGAGGTTGCATTACTGGGTTCCGCCAGTAGTACCCTTTTGGCCTTTTCATGTTAGGGTCCCCTTACTCAAACCGAATACCAGGAAAAAGGATCCCCTTACTATTGAGGGGGCACTGCGGAACCTAGGCTCTCTTCACAAGATTTCATGATTTCAGGGTGGTGGGGGAACTATGCACCGACCGACTCATGGAGCGGCAATGACGACTCAGAACAATGAGGTAGTATCCCAGAGACTCCAACATCCCTTAATTAAGGAATATACTTCGAATCATATTAGGGATCCCATTATAGTTTAAGGTCTATTCCTTAATTAAGGGATATTGGAGTCTCTGGGATTGGGGCAGTACTCATAACGCATGTCACTGCCAGCTGTTGAGGGTCTGAGATAGATAAGATCCAAGTGTACTTCCTCGCCCTGAGTCTTAGGATACCCATGAACCATGGACCCTCAAAACCGTAAACCCTTAATCCCACGCAACTCCCAAGACCCTAGACCCTGAACCCACTGTTAGACAACAGGAAGAAGAGTAACATCCTTTCACAGTCCCTGTATAGTTGTTCTGTCAAAATGACCCTGAGCCCCTTAGAAATTAAGAGTCCCTGCAGAAATATTTCACTGTTAGAATACCCCTGAGCTCCTTAGAAAATGAGAAGCAAACACAACCCCCCCCCCCGTCGAGAAATATTACTGACCGTTAGATCAGCCCCTGAGCTCCCTCCAAGCGAGGATTGGAGCCAGAATCCCGACGTCTTCGGAAAGTCAAGCTGGAGGGCAGCCGCTGCTACAAAGGCCCGGGGGCCGTCGGTCACGGGTTTCGGATCTACAGTAAACCCCGGGTATACTGTACTCTTAAGGGTTGAGGCTGTTGGGTTTCCAACTTCAGGATTTAGGGCTCAGTGTCTTTCCGTAAAGTTTTGTCCTGTATCATGGTGCTATCAACAAGAAGCACCCCGAACCCCTTTCTTGGTTTTTGTAGGCTCTTACTTTTTCTCCCTAACTACCATAATATCCGAAAAGATACCCCCAAACACCATCCTCGTCTTTTCAGGCTCCTACTTAGAAGCTCAGGAGAACCAGGGTTATAAGGTCCAAAACTGCGGTCATAAGTAGTTGTAACTATAGCAGCCTCACATATAACCCTACTTACTATGACGCCGACCCTCTCAACATTTTACTCTTTGAAGAACCCCCGAGTGGCACGGCAGGCATTCTCGCAGACGAGGCCGGGAACTTCTCGGGTTTTTGCGGTGTTTTTCGGAAACTTGTTAGGGGCGTTCACAGTTAATTAGAACAGGATTTTTTAGGGGCATATGAAAACACGACCCTAAGGGAGTCTCTCCGGAATAGCATTACCCACGTTTTTCTTAGGGCTCCTTATGACACGAACACCCCAGAACGCCAGTCCAATTATGACGATCCTGCACAGCACGAAGATCCTGCACAGCATACCCCTGAACGCATCCGGCTACAAAACACCTGAATAACCCACAATTGCCAAACCGCCTTCAACCCTTAAGCCCCTAAACCCTTGAACCCAAATCGGTATAAACCCTAAACCCTATAAACACGATACTATAACCCCGAAACCAAAATCACTCTAACCCCTACACCAGAATCACTATAAACCCTAAACCGTAACCCTAAACACTCTAAACCCTAAACCCAAATCACTATAAGCCCTTCAGCCCCCTGAACCCCAGGATCCTACAGCACTAGGTGCCTGGCCCTAGACACGCCTAAACCCAAAACCGTAAACCCTAAACCCGAATCCCTTGACCGCGAAAGGCCCGGCTCCTCTGCGTTTCCCATGGGCGGTTTCGGCAGCGGCCAGAGGCCAGAAGGTTTTGGGTTCCTGATTGAACCGCACAGAATGATACCGAGTAGCAACAACAGTAGCAACAATAATATTCATAGTATAGTGATCTCGAGTACGAGGGCACGGCCAGGTTTTCCAACAGCATGAACGAAAAGGTTAACAGTCTAACTTGGTACACTTCTCGATTTAAAAGCTTCCGGACATGCCTGCGTGTCATCCTTGCTGCAGGGGCCATAAACCTGCGGTGGAATCGTGTCATCCTTGCTGCAGGGGCCAAACATGCCGGTCAGAGTACCTGCGCTCCCCCTTTTGGTCTTGACCAAAACACCACCAAACCCCAACGACCCAACCACACTTAAGCAGCTGAAGTCCAGAGGCTCTCGGGAAAGAGCGGAGAGAAGTCCAAGTGGAGAAGTGCAAGAGAGTGTAGCCCAAGTAAGGCTCAAGGCGCTCCTCAGTTTCTGAAGAAAAGGACTGTGGTTGCACAACAAGCGGCGCAAGACTTCACAGTGCTTGCAAAAGATGGGACATGGAATCCCCTGCACGGTTTTGCTTCAAACACAAACTAATGCACATGCACAGTACTCGAAGGCATGGCTGAAAAGTTATTGCACTCGGGATCTCAAGGGTTTGCAGAAGCACGGTTCTTCACCAATCTGCAAGCTACACAACCTGAGAACCTGAACCAAACCGGACTTACAACCGGAAGCTAAGAAAATCGTCAAAAATCCAAAGATGAGCCGATACTGTACTCCCAGGGTCAGAAAGGATTAGCATGTCTCAAGCAGATATCCGCGAGACTGGCACGCCTAACAAACTAAGACCCACAAGCCACACCTTTAAGGACGTATGACAAAACGACCCCTAAAAACCACGCCTAGAACACCTTACTTCAATCCACCTCAGGGACTCCATCCTGGTGCATGCGCTCGAGGCGAAAGCCCTCGTTCGTGTAAAAGACATGTTGTTGAGCATCTGACAGCTGTTCAAGTGGCACTTCAATGCCATTCCTGATCAGAAACGCTGCAGCTGAAGCGACGGCATGATTAATTTCTTCATCAGCCTCTTCAATCTCACTGTCAGTCGCAAGCGGAGGAAATCTTGTTGATCTAACGACCGCAACGTCATCAACATACCTCACCACAGCATCAGAGGAGCTAGGAGCCTCATTGGTACCTGCAGCCCAGGGTGCTAGGGTTGGCATATTAGGATAGAGACCTGCCTCACGCATCTCTTCATACTGGCGGTACAGCTGTTCGGGTCCAGGGACTACATCGATTCCATGCCTATTGATCTGGTCACGGTGGGGGTAAGTAGGGTCATACCTAGCCCTATACTCAGCAGCAGGAACTATCCCAACCCCTTGAACCCAGTGCGGAGGAGTTCCAGATGACGAGCTGGAGTCTGATCTCGTTGCCATATACAGCTCGAAATCTCGCCGGGCTCCGCGGTCATAATACTCAGCTGACCGACCAGACTGTATCGAAGAAGACTCTGCATCACTACGCGGGGATTGAGGTTCCGGCTCGTAGGGAAGGGCTTCAGGGACAACTGCTACAGGATTATTTCTCGGGGCCTTTGGGGGAAGCTCGAGTGCGACAGTTCCTTGCATGTCAACGACCAGACTGCTTCTTAACACGCGATCAATGAAGTTTTCCCAGCTATTAGGGTCCCCAAGATCAAAAAAGTTAGGAATTTCAATCCGGTTGGTGTCCCTTCGCAGCGGGGGAGGAGTGGGGCTATGTTGCTCTGGTGCTCCAGGCAGGAGGGCCCACGGAGAAAACTGCACGTCTGGACCTGCACCGGTGCTAACTCGCCTTGGCCTGGCACCTCTGCCACGGCAGCGCAGTCCATCATCGTAGTCAGCAATGACTATCGGCTGCGGGATTTGCTCGGAAAGCGGAATGGGTTCAAGCTCTGGCTGCTCAAGGCCATCTTCGACTGGCCCTGTGCGTCGTGTGCTAAAGAACCTTCCCACAGCCCAAAGCAGAAAAATCCCTATAGCAACTACAAGAACCGGAACTATGGAAAGCCACCAGCTACTCCAGTCATCCTGCTTCGATCCTTCAACTCCTCCCTTGCCCTGAGCCTGAACAGGCAGCGAACCGACAACAAGCAGCTCCAACGCTTGCCTCAAAAGGTTTAGCTTCGCAACAGGGGCCTTAACCTTTGGCACATCGTACCCGCACAAAAGCAAGAGGTCTCTGACTCGAGCCCAAGGCAGCACTTTCGTGGCAATATCTGCCAGCATGTGTTCTCCTTTTAAGTGCGACAGGTGCCACTTTCCAGACTGGAGCCTTTCCCGGAGGGCTTGAGACCGAACCCGCAGGTGGCGCGTGCGCCAATTGCCACTCTCAAAGGAAGCGATTGAGATAGATGCAAGGTTATCGCAGAAAGCCTGACACGCTGGAAACTGCTGAACCTCTGGGTGAAGCTCATGCACCAGCCCTTCAAGGGACTCCGTCAACGCTACTCCCTCTAGAACCCCTAACAGTTCACACTCAGCCGTAGAGAGAGCTGTGAAGGGCTGCTTGCCTGCACCCCAGAAGACTAGGTTGCGACCGACCTGCACCAGGCCAGCTTCAAAGCTTCTGTCACCAGCTGGAGCAAAACTAGCATCAGTGAAAGACTCAAGCAGGTAAGGAAGAGCCGTGACGCGACGCTCATTATGCATACCGTGGGGAGGCTGATCTGCGGTGCACTGGTACTTCAGAGCGACCCTCTTGGTGCCTTTAAGATAGCAGAAAGCAAGCTCCGGACATCGACTCACCAATGATGTTACCCTCGCAACCCCATAGACAATGTCTACTCTTGTCTTTCCAGATACCCAAAGAAGCTCACCCGCGAGTGCCTGAGCCTTTCTCAAAGCAACAGGGGAAGGAGGTTCTGGCTCTTCTGGGTCCTGAACCTTTACAAACGGGCACGAAGTCTCTACCAGCGGAGCCCCAAGACTCTCTTCGTAGCGCTTTACAACATCTTCTATATACGATGCTTGGTGGACTAAGAGCGCACGGCCTTGTCTCTCTATTTCAACACCACAAAAGCGTACAGGGCTCTTAGAGCTAAGCTGGTCCGGCTCCGAGCACTGCCAGATGTTGCGAATTTCAACGAGGACTGCAGATGCATACTTTGCAACGCCTCCAATCATGAGATCATCGACATATACGACCAGAAGGCCGACAATGCCTCCTGACGATGCCGTCAGTAGCCATGCATTTGGCTCGGAAACTAGGTGTCTCAGGCTTATTTCAATATCCCCAATCTTAACGCGAACAGTCTTTAACGTGCGGTCCCTAAGTTTCGACCAACATTTAGGAGACCGATCAAGTCCGTACAGAGCACCTTCAACCAACCACCGCTCAGCTCTACTGACTACTCCAGCAAGCTGAAAGATACGGGGCGGATCAAGGACGATCAGCTCCTCGGTCCCTGCTTCGACTCGACTGCTTTCAACACCATCGGACAACTTCGCGTTTAAGAAAGCTGTTTTGACGTCTGTCACCCAGACATCCCAGTCGGGGTGCTGGGATATGAAAGCCAATGACAATCTTAGCGCGCTCGCATCGATTCCACCTGCATATGTGAGCAGACGATGTTCATAAGCGGAGCCGCCTGCTGAAGGCGCGTGATTTCCGCATGCAACGCACCTAGCCTTTCTTAGGCCTGACACCGCCTTGCGAGTGAAGACCCCTTTTGAGGGCAGACGCAACACCGCACGCCCTTGGGCAAGCCATTCAGCAATTTGTTGTTCCGAAATCGGCTTTAGCACTCCTTTTACACGGAGGCTGTCATATTCGGCGCTTATCGCTGGCTTCCACAAAGGAAGTTCGCGTTTGACCTGATCGAGGCTCACAGTTTTCGTTTGCAACGGTGGTGGCTCATGGTCCGGGGCATGGGCATCAGATGCAGAGGGTGACTCCCCCAGTCCTCTAAGACGAAGCTCTTTGACTGCTAAGGGGCACTTGGACTCCCCCGGGCCCGACAGCACCTGATAATAGGCAAGGAAGTTTTCTATGCCTTCAGAGCGCGCCTCGAGGACCTCACTGACAGCACTACCTGAACCGCTAGCCGCCTGCGAGCTGCGAAGATTAACCCTAGCCCTATTAAGCTCTTCGATCCCCTGCAAGGCACAGGTCTCTATCGGACCGTCTACCAGTACAAAGGACTCAAGGGGGTCATCGGGAGGGGTCTCATGATCATGGCAAGGGCTTAAGCTCCGAGCCTCAACCTGAAGGGAGGACGCAGCTTCAGCAGCCTCAAACCACAACTTCGACTCAGCACTGCACGCCGCATCCAAACCATAAGCCTCTTCGCTGAAATCAGACTCCGCCTCAACCTCATCAACCAAGAGTCCGACACCGTAGGAAGACTCTTGGGCAGGAGGAGAAGGATCAATCAACGCACTCAGCTCATGCGGTCGATTTTGAGTTGCAAGCCCCTGTTTGGAACAAGAAGGCGAAAGATTACTGTGGGCTCCCCCCCTGCGTCAGACACAGGGCAGCAAGAAGGCAACGGAAAGCCGGCGCAAGTCAGCTCCGCCACAACCGGGAGAGGAGCCTTCACACATCGTTTGAGAGTGAACGCAACAAGGAGGTATTTGTCGCCAGACCACGAGTTACCGGCATGAAAGCGGTGCGGTGAGAACGAGAACGAGGCACCAACCGTGTCCCACATCATTCCTGGCAGCCACCGACGCGGAGCAACCTCTCGAAATTGCAAAACGCCCGGAGCAGCAGTGCTAGCAAACTCTGAACTAACCTCGATCCAAAGCCCACCACGCGAATGCTCTTCTCCGCCAACAACATAGTTCAAGCTATCCGGAGCATTGAAGTAATCACGGTGGATGGGGGCGCTGCAATTCACCGACGCTACAAAGGAAGTGAATGTAGCCTGAGGGTGATAGTGCTGTAACACGGCCAGAAGGTACCTTTGAGTGTGCGGAAACTGCCGACTAGCCGTCGTCACACCGAGAACTCCCCCGTGCGTAAACATCCCAAAGCTACGATACTGAATCCCAGGCCCCAAAGCAGACATAAAACCCCTGCGGATTGGCTTATGGGGCAAAAGGCGCAGCACCTGAGACCACGATGCACTATCATACAATCCCCGACGCAAGAAGTCCTCAGAGAGAGCCTCGAGAGAATCGGCAAGGGCTCGCACAGCGTGCGGGAGGTCAATGCACAAGGGGTCAGGAGTTTTACGACGCAAACGAGACGATGGACCAGGCGGCCCAGAAGAGGTGGGAGTCTTACTTGCTTCCTCAGTCACCGGCACCCCTTTGCGCACCTCGCTAGGTGGAATTACCGAAACCTCACCGGATGCCTCAAAGACAGGTTCCTGAGCCCTTACTCCTTGAATCAACGCTGTGGTTTCAAAGTAACCCTGGAGACCATCCCAAAGATCGGAAGGGTGGCTCGGCTGAAGGCGCACAACGTAACCACCTGGAGCGGACTCAGAGGGAGCCATAACGCGGGCCTCTATACACTTTGGCGCCCACAAGTGCAAAGTCCATTCCTTCTTTCTTACCCAAACCTTGGTGTAGAAGGGGATCGGTTCGCGTTGGGGGAAACCCAAGACTGTAAAGACCTGCGACCTCATACTGAAGACAGCGTGCCGCATAGCAAAAGCCCAATCAGCATCATCCACAGACGCCGACGCAAGTAATGCGCGAGTGAGCCCCTTGACACGCCCTATGTGGGCTTCAGTGCGCCCATTAGCCTTAAAGTCCGAGCCAACCGTTGTTGTACGACGAAGCTGATGATCCGCTAGGAGCTGGCGAAACTGTGCATTCGTGAACTCTGCTCCTTTGTCAGTATGGACTCTGCGTACCGGGAGCGCCCAATAAGCGATGTCCGCTAGAACTTCTTTCAAGGCATTGGTGACGGTCTTGGCCTTTTTATCTGGCAGCATGACTAAGTAAGGCACCTCATGCATATGCACCTCCTTCAAAGGAACTTCACCGGTTGCCACACCATCATCGCCATCACCACCTTCATCACCTGTCCCTAAGCATCCAAAGTGCTCAAATGTGCCTATGTTGGTGAAGGCCTTGGTTTTTGAGGTCTTAATCCCAAGACCTTGTATTTTGAGGTTCCGGAACAATAGCAACATGAAGCGGTTCAACATAAGTGCTATCAACTTGTGAAGTAGGTTGAAACAAACTATAAACATGCCGAAAAACAGAATACTCTGGGGGACGTATGTAATCACGCGACATATTGGAAGCGATATCATATAAATTAAATTGATAAGGGCCGTTCTATGTAGCACATCTTGCAGTGAAATGCAGCAAAACATAAGACGTGTGTAAATAGATCGCAAATTGCATGCATGTGTCTGTTCAAATGGGGTTCAAACAGATCACAATGTACATATACACATACATATACATGTGTGTGTATAAACATATATATATATATATATACATATATATATATAGAGTTGTTTTCTTTCTATCTGTGCATGTGATCTCGTCGTATAGTTCCACAAATCAAGTTTAACCATCAAATCATTTTTACATGAAGGCCAATCGCTGCTGATATGTTTCACTCTTGCTGTTTATCTTGTTGTTGTTGCTGTGGCTGTGGTTGTGGCTGTGGTTGTTGTTGTTGTTTCTGCTGGTGCTGGTGGTGGTGGTGGTGGTGGTGTGGTGGCTGGTTGTAGCAATGCTGGCAATTATGGTGCCGATGTCGTTTTCACTGGTGCTGGTGGTAGCGGTGTTCGTGGTGGCGCGGCAGCGGCTTGGGTCGTGGTGGCTTTCTGTGGCGTCATCTCATGAGTCATATGTTGAGTTATGTTGAAATGCGAGTTAATATATCTATTTACATATACGGATAGATATACATATACACCATAAGATGCCAAGGAATTTTCAGTTCACGTATATGTAATTGCTTTTTATGATGCTACAAAATCATATGCCTTTACATATTTATACATATGTATCTATGTATGTATGTATATATATATATATATATATATATATCTGTGTAATTCTGTGTAGACGGTTGTTGGATGAAAAAGGCACAAAACTCCATTATCACTACCGTACACATACATATGGGCATACATTGTGCCTAAATATGTTTGTGCTCTATACATATATCTTTGTATATGCATAATGGATACGTATATGTTTGCAATAAACATATAGCCATGTTGTGGTTGTTTTCAGGTTCTGTATATTTATATGTGGTGCAGGAACGAAGTAACCATGTCATGATTGTTTTTTCAATAGGTTCTGCGTAAACATCCGGTATATGTATACATAGTCATATATGTATATTGCAGCTTCAACATCATTTTGTATGTTGTACACTTCCGAGGTCATACATATGAGGTTAGATTATGTATTATCAGATATATTGTTCTGACATATATGCAGAATACTCATGTGTTGTAAAGGCCACAGTATATTACATGTTCTACACATACATAGTCGTTACAGAGTCGAAGTTTTAAATGGTATGAGATGTTTGCTTATGTTTGCGGTATCAACATGTATCTATAGATAAAAAGATACAGCTTTTTCTATTTTGTGTATACATATACATATATATATATATATATATATACGTATATATGTATATATGTACATATGTATATATGTACATATGTATATGTATATATATATATGTATATATGTGTATATGTGTATATGTACATATGTATAAATGTATATATGTATATGTCTATGTGTACATATGTATATACAAATGACCGCCTCCAAGCACCACTGTGTCAGGTGCCTCTGCCAAGATTCGGCCCTTCTTTGTGTAGGGAGTCTTGGTGGTTGTGGGTTTAGCCGTGGCTTTCGTCTTGGCCTCCGATCGTGGTGGTCGCTACCGCTTGCGAGCTGGAGGCTCCGATGATGCTTCCGGTTGATAAGGCAGGAATGTGAGTCAGTATGTGTGTATATGTGTGTATACATCAAATCATTTGGGCAATAACACGGTTCAAGCTGGTCACAGCCCCTTGCCGGGAGTCCTTGGCAGCCTTGGCGGTTGCTGCCATCTGCAGAAACTCAACCGCGATCTAGGTTTTCTTGCCGATGGCAACAAATGGGGAGCAGCACGGGCTTCGCGGAAGCTCGGCGCCGAAAAACCCAGGGAGCGACGCACCTGCAACACAAACCCACACACCTGGAGCTCACACGAATTCACGCGAATTCACGCTGTTTCACGCCCTTTCGGCCGAGACCTTGATATTTGAGGCCTTTGGCTACAAAGGACTCGGATTCCGAGGACTCGGCCCAGAACCAATTCACGCCAATTCACGCGGATTCACGCTTTTTCACGCTTTCAGGTTTGTCCAGACTTCTTTCACGCTTCAAGACAAAGCTGCAAGATTCTGTTGCAGCGCTTTTTATGCAGAAACATGCATGTAAAGATAATGTTATATTGTATCGCAGATACGTATAAGTCTATTGTCCATACAGCAAACAAATATATTAGCAAATGTCGACATATGTACAAGTATATACATATCTGTATGTGTATATATATATATGTATATATGTATGTACATCATTTATGTATAGACATATGCATACATGATACATATATATATATGTACAAGTATGAGTAAACCTGTGCGTATACATATACACATATACAATCACATACACACATAGGTGAATGTATGTACATATGCATATGTATACATCTATATATATCTATATATAGATGTATATATGCACACCGGGAAATATTGGCATGTATTCAACGTGTAGATAAATAAACATACGTATGCCTGTACATGTATACATTTATCTACATCTACATATACATATACATATACATATACATACATATGTATATATATATATATATACATATGGATGTACTGAATGCTGCTTGGGTTGCTTATGCTGCTTTTATTCCGTCTGTGCTTTTGATTATGTCAGTTAATAAATGCATGGGGTATGTAGGTAGGTAGGTAGGTCTGTATATTTCCACATATATACATGCGCATATGTGTTTGTTTGTTCATATGTAGCATCGTGTAGCTATCAATTTTTCGCCGGTTCGGCCACGGATCCTTGGGAGAAGCAGGGCTCAGAAAATGGGGCAAGTGTACCTGGAGGTTTCTATGCGACAAAGCTAACTAGCTGGATTATAGTTGTATATATTTGTGTATATATATATACTACAGGTATGTGGTTGAATTGTGAATACTTGTAACGCCATCTTCAACGACTGAGCCCATGCTTCTGCAGAAGCGGAGGTTGGACTTGAGGGCTTGGTATATATGTGAATATATGTATGTTTACATGCCCCTGGCCCGCACATATTTCTGCATGGCACTGGAAAGCCGAAGCCCAAGAACACCCAAAACCTACTCTTCCAAATATAGTGATCTTGGAAAGCAAACTTTGGCAGAACATGCAAAAATAAGACCAAGCTCGACCCGTTGCACTACAGCACCCCAAATGCTCGCTTCCCTGATTTTATGGCACTCATGATCCAGACTAATCCCAACGAAGCCACGACCCCCACCCCCTCCGCCTGGCTTCGCTAACAGACACTGGCCGGCCATGAATTATGAATGCATCGGAGCTGGGGCTTCTGCCAACGTGTGTCTCTGTATGCATATGTATACAAATATATGTATATATGTATGTATGTATATATATATGTCTGTATTCACATACATGTATATATATATATATAGATAGTGCCTGGATAAGGGACTCAGGCTACAGTTGTAGGTCTGGGTCGTACATATATATGCAAGAACCCAATATGTTACATATATCTATATGTATGCCCGGCATTCTCCTGGGCAGCCGGCAAGTGGACGGAGAATTTCCAGGCTTTCATATAATCGTAGACACATGAAATATATATATATATATATATATATACATATATATATATATAACATATTATATATATATATACACATGTGGTTTCTGGATATGTAGATGTAATTTGTAACTAAATATGTATATATGAAACTATGTCGTTCGACGTCTTTAGGGAAAAGTTTCTGTAACCCTGTTAGGGCCACGTACATGATTTTGTATCTGCGTGCACGTGTCTAGAACTACAACAGCGAATGTGACTGGCCGAGAAATGCAAAAGTTGGGAGTTCATTTTTGCAGAACACTTATATAGAAAGGTCAAGAAATGTATATTTGTGGCCAGAAAACAATATGTCTGTAAATCCTACCTACGTTCCAGAACTGTAGAGAACTGGAAACCCATCGAAAAAGAAGAGATTGTCGGTAAATACACACTTCAAGTACTTCGAACATCATACAGCACTCGAAATTGGACTGAAGTGCGTGAAATCCTAGGACTTTCATATATCATATTAATACTCTGTTCAGAACCTTAAAAAACGAGGCCTTTAGTGATGATGCTAGCCAAACCAGCACTTTGAGCACATTTGAGGTTTTCGGATGCTTAGGGTGTCATGGCGTCGCCATCACCAACCCCTTTAGGAGGCTCATCTTCGACGAAACCCTCTTCAGGAAACTCCCAAGCACCCGGGACCTCATGCACATCTGGGGGCGAAGGCTTCATCACACTAATGCTCAACTCAGCATCATCCTCTCCGAAGGGCTCAACCTGCAAAGCAGACGCCTCATGCTTTTCACCCTCACCCGGGTCCGACGGCTCGTAATCATATTCCTGCTTGAGGATGTCTGTTGCCAACACCGGAACGGTAAGCACTGCATGCAAACAGTATCTAACCTTCTTAAGCCTTTCATGATTGCCATTAGCATACGGACCGGAGAGGTCACAGCCTAGCACAAAAGAGTCAGGAACCTTAATCCTACGGTGAGGTCTAGACTTCAATCTACCTCTCAAGCAGGTGGCGCAATCTCGTCGGAATGGCAAGTGGCCGTTGGCGACGTGACGCTCAAAGGATGCATCAATCTTCCCTTTTGGGGTTGATGTTTTCTCACGGTTTTTCGCAAGCTTAGCAACTTTCAGGCATACCGCCCGTCCTACTCCATCATACTCCCGGCATTGCTGCTGGTGGAACATCAGTGACTTAACCAAGCCATGACTAACACTATGCCACGGTGATGATCTGACCAAAGCCCCGACCTGCGGATCGTTGTCACTTTCGCACAGGAACAACGGTGGGATTGTAAAACCCGCAGCCTTTCGGCCACAATCGGCTTGACCACACAAATGCAGGATCCTAAGCAGTACCAGTGCATCCTTAGCCGCGTTGGCTCCAGGCGATTGGCAACCGTGACACATAGTGGGAAAAAGACTTGGAAGATCAGTGCACACCACTTGCCTGATAAGGCCTATCCGCGCAAGCTCAAACAGGAATGCGTGAATTCCTTCATCCCTCACCTCCCTGTGATCTAGGCGGATCGTTCCCCATTTTGAAGGCACGGTTCCTACGTAGGCTTTAGGATCTCCAATCACAACAGCTATCCCTTCACAATGGCTTAAGGTGCGGCGAGTGCGACGGTTGAAGCGTGGCTGTATGCCAACAGCTTCCATCCTTGGCTCATCCAGCACCTGCGAGAGAAGAGAGCTACTTTGAAGACCCACTAGTTCGGTGAGCCACGTCCAACGATCGGGATGCGGGCCCTTTCCTGCCAACAGCGCCGTGGCTAGACTTGTAAGGGGTACGTCTTGGCTAAGGTGCCCATCGCACGCATGAGCCTTCACAGCGACCCTACTCAGCTTCTCTATCTTAGATATCATATCCAAGGCTTTGACGACACCTCCGGGCAACCTGCCACCAGAACAACTGGCACCTTAGAGCCTTCTGGATCTCGCAAAACAAAGCCTCCTGAGGTCCAACGAACCTGATACCCTAGGCTCACAAGCTGATGCAAAGCAACAATCGGAGCAGCTTTCTGCTGACTCAACGACGCTGGCTCTGCTAGCAGGATGCCTGTGCTGGCGATCCGAAGATTGTTTGTTTCCCCTGAAGCTAAATGCACTACCACTGGAGCGGCAGCTTCCCATTCTTGCAGGCTAATGGCTTGTCGAAGTGAGGTTGTGGCGCCACCGTCCAACAAACCCAAAACGGCGTCCCTAGATTCTTCGGCTTTAACAGCACACAGCTTGGATATCCTCAAAGATTTAATGGCATCAATGGCTTCCTTCACCAAATCATTTGAGGGCCCTGTCGCTGCAGCTGGTGCGCCCTCAGGCTGCGAGGCCTGAGCTTCCGAACCCTCAGGAGCCTCCACACCACCAACCTTGCGAACTCTCTTCCGGGGACCCCGCTTAGGGTCAGCCTTAGCTGAGGTCTCTACACCCGCCTTATGGTCAGCGCTGCCGGCGGCAGTGGGTGGGCCTCTCCCTAGCACTGGGCACGCATTCCTCCAGTGCTCAGTGGATGAACACTCAAAGCACCTACCACTACCATCCTCCACAACACTAAGATCGTGATTGTATTGGCATGACCGTCCGGCATTACACCCCTTTGCGGAACCCCAAAACTGACAGACTCGGCGATTGCTTTCAGGCTGCGCATCAGAAGGCTTACCTTTAGGTCCTTTCCCAGAATCCTTACCTCCCTGCTTATCCCAACCTTTACCCTTCCTAGGCTCAGGCTTATCATCCTTGCCTTCCTCCCCCGCAGTCTTCACCTTCCTCACTCGCTGCCTTTTCTCCTTATCCTCCTGGGCGGCCGCCTGTGCGCTTACAGCAAGCAACTCCATTTCGGCATGAACCTGCTTCCTAAACTTCTCGACCTTTTCATGCGTCGGGACGTGGTCTAGCGAAAGCTCCAGCTTCAGCACGCTAAGCCTAAAAGCCAACTCCCTATAGGTATTGGAACCCACAATCCCTGCAACTATGCTTTCTACGGCTCGAAGAAGCAGTGACGGATCAGGGAGGGAAACCTGGAGCTGCTCTGCACGCGATCTCCAACGTGAGTACTTCCGCAGCTTCTCCAAAGCCTCTGAAGGGCCTTGAGCTGTTCCAGGCTGGGTCAAGAAGTTGAGTAGTGTCGCACGTTCAGCAGTTCCACCAGGTTGCCCAGCAACCATAACTCTGAAGAGGACATTGACCGAGTTTAACACCCTAGAAGCCAAGATATCTTGCTTCAGATTTTCAGGAAGGGACGCCAGCAGCATGGAGGTTACTCGTTGCTCGAGTCGGGTATACTGTGGTAAGGAAAGTTCAGTTCCCAGCTTCACTTCGATCTGGGCTCGCTGCAAAGGTGTGGCGTTGAGCCACTGTGCATACAACATCTCTGCCCTAACCTTGACCTTAGACCACCAAAGGCCTGCCCCAGTACTAATATCCCCTATGATCGGACCTATCAGTGTAACCCAATCCCCCACTAAGATCGGCGCTTCATCAGTCTTCAGCCAGTCGCAGCTCCTGGAACAGACAGCTCAACAGGATGCACAGGAAAGGAAAGCTGGGCAGGTTCAATAGACACTTCCGGAGCCGGTGGCTCAACAGGAAAAGGCATAGGAGTTGGTTGATACGCAGAAGGAAGACCCGAACTACTAGCATAACCCGGGGCCCCTAAACCAACAAACTCAACTAAACCCTGAGGAAACCCACTAAAATCATCAGGGATTTGTGGAGGGGTGAAGAAACCTGAACCTGATAGCACATTATCTGGTCTGCTTGGTGGCACAGGCTGAAACTGCGGCACTGGGCAAGTCCAAGCTGGCCCTTCAGCAGTTGGCACAGGCCCCCAAGTCCAGGAAGGCCCCTGAGGATGCACGGGAGAAGGCATTGCTTGAGGCTGGAAGGGTGGAGGAGGCGGTTGGGCCAGCACACCGGGAAGTAAAGTCCAAATCCCCTGTGCATTGAGAGCGAGCTGCCTATAACCACCGTCAACATACACCCACTTACCCGAACCTCTCAAACCATCAATCCCTGTTAGCCCTGGGGGATCGCAAAAACTTGACTGTACAGTAGATGGCTTTCCATCCCTTTCTTTCCTATCCGCCCCTACAGCTCTAGCAGAACTACCAGTAGCCGACTTCATCGACGAGGTGCCAGAGTTTCTCTCTACCACCAGCGCAGCTTCCAGGTCCTTGACACGTTGCATCAGCGCTGCAACTGTTGATGGATCAACCTCTCTGGCATCCGAAGACCTGCCAGCAGTGGAAGCCTTTTGCGAAACTACCTCTCCTTCCAAGCTTCTCCCCTTCGCAGACACTTGCTCCCGAATCGGAGTGTCGCCGCCCTCAGAACCAATCTTGAAGTAGCATGTCCCTGAATGGTCCTTGTGGCTCGGTCCGACTGGAGACTCCGTGACTTGCAATGCGTAGCTTCTGATCTCCATTCTCGTTGCCGTCTCACCACGCTCCAAGATCGACGCCATGCCACTGGATCCAGGGGAACTAGCCCCACGACCCTGGTGCATGGTCCTTGGCCCTTCTTTGTCTTCAGACACACCAGCATCACGACTGGTACGGTCTTGAACTGTTTCCGAAAAGCTGTAAGGCGGATGCAGTTCCACATCCACATCTCTCTCAGTGGTGCTCGGCAAGTTGTGCGGTCGTGACTGGCTTAACTGAAACTCCATCGTCGCCCTTTCAGACCAGAAAGGATTAGGAAGAGGTCTTGACGAAGAAGGCTCCTCTGCTTGGTTGGCAGCCTGAACCTCATCCGTTCCCACTGTCCCTGGCTCCTCGTACGAAGGCTCCAGCTCATCGCCCGACTCGAATGGGACCGGAGTGGCAGCAGCTAAAGCACCACCACCTCGCCCACCAGGAGGCACAGAGCTCGACTTCCGCCTTCTAGAAGCAAGAGTATCCATGGCAACAGGGACGAAACTACTTTGGGCTCATAACCCTCGAGTACGAGGGCACGGCCAGGTTTTCCAACAGCATGAACGAAAAGGTCAACAGTCTAACTTGGTACACTTCTCGATTTAAAAGCTTCCGGACATGCCTGCGTGTCATCCTTGCTGCAGGGGCCATAAACCTGCGGTGGAATCGTGTCATCCTTGCTGCAGGGGCCAAACATGCCGGTCAGAGTACCTGCGGTGATAATGATAATGATACCAGTATTTAGACGGCTTAGTTTGGTTTTTGGGTGTCGGGTTTAGGGGGGCTTTTGGGGGATTAGGGGATTTAGGGTTTAGGATTGCGGGTTTTGGGTTTAGGACGGCTTAGTTAGGTTGGTTCAGGGTGGGTTTAGGGCTTAGGATTTAGGGGCTTTGGGCCTTGGGTTTTGAGTTTAGGGATTCAAGGTGGGTTTAGGGCTTAGGACCTAGGCTTTTAGGTTTTCGGCGAAATTGAATCGGCCAGAGTCCAGCAGGTATTTTTGGTTCCTGATTGACATGCACCCTGTTTAGAACGGTCCTGATGATCGAATCTCCATCAAAGTCCCTTTGCAGCTGGCGAGGTTTGTTTTTCCAGGAGTCTACGATACATTATCCTTCGCATTGTACGGCCCCCACTCAGTAACAGTTGGATAATATTCAAAATATAGATATATAAGGCCCTTAATAGTAGCCCTGTTATAGACTGTTAGTGTATGGGAGCATTGGACTGTCAACCTGAGACACCAAAGCACAAGAACCCTTGTGAAACCCTTGTAAGAAGACTGGTGAAGCCTGTGTAGAACCCGAACAAAACCCTGATAGAGGACCCTCATAGACCTTGGCCTCGCAGGTATCTTCTCTTCGTTGGTGCGGGCCCCGCTTATCCGGGGGGCTTCGTGAAACTGTATAAGGAAATACCACAAAAGATGTAGAGCTGAAATTCTTGGAGTCACCTTCGAGACTTGCTCTTTGGCTTTCGGACGTGAGTGGCCGTGGACACCCCAAATTATCCCACAGAGACCTTGAGTACTCGGATTCTCGAAGCTTTAGGGGCTTTGGACCGCTGCACCCCATTTAAGGCTTACCTTAATTAGAACCCTACTTACTAAGTCCTCTGATCCTCCAAGTAGGGCTTCATAATTTGGGGGGTCAGCGCTTTGGGGGCACTTGCAAGATAACAAACCCTTCAGGGCTGTAGGGCAGCAGGGCGAAGGTCTTCGTGAAAGGGTCCAGTTAGCATCTAGAGTTTAGGGTTTGGGGTCTTGTCTTCGGGGTCCAGGGCTTAGGGAACCAATGCTAGGATCGGGGTCTTGTCAATAAGTGGCCTTACACCCTCAAGTCAGCATGCAGACCCCTGAATCCCAAACAAGAACGGCTTCTGTGCGAACTTGCTGAAAGTTTTCATTTCCACCTCGGAAAAAGCCCTAAACCCTGAAAGCCATCAGGGACCATTTCTGCCGGGCTTATGGCATAGATTCAAACTTTGTTTGGTAGCCTGACCTCAGCAAGGCCTGCCGCTTGCTTTGTACTGCAGCGACTGCCCACACCTCTACCAAATCCTGCCAGACGCCCGGAATGAAAGGGGTGGCTGCTTGCAGTAGCAATCCATAGGGGTCCGCTTACCTAAATAATGGGCTACTGAGTTACATAATATGTGGTTAGTGACCACTAATTCGGTAACTGGAGACCTACGGAGTGTGCGGCTCAAGGGTATTACCGGGTTTGCTGAACGGGCTGTCCTTAGCTTTTCGTCTGGGTCCCACATCGCACAGAATTGAGGGATTTCAAATCATGCTCCTGTTCTGATCATGAGGAGTATATTGCTTGGTCAAGCTGATCGCTCGCCCAAAACCCCAAACCGTTCCAGGACACAAGTAAAGTTTAAACGCCCCTGGACTGAGACCGATGCTCTAAATTGTCAACCCTAAATATACCCAAAGACTCCAATATCCCTGAAGTAAGGGACCCCTAATATGATTTAAGGAATAATCCTTAATTAAGGGATATTGGAGTCTTTGGGTATGAAGGAGGGTAGCAAGTCATCCCAGGCAGCGCTTGCGTGGCCTATCTACCCTAAACCCTAAACCCTAGACCCTAAACCCTAATCCTAAGACCTAAACCCTAAACCCTAAACCCATCCCAGGCAGCGCTTGCGTGGCCTATCTACGAGGGAGGGCTCCCTACTCACCACTGCAAACCTCCGGGCGACGCCGGGGTCCCCGGCTCTGGAGACCGATCTGCTTGGATCATGGGACTTAGTAAGTCGGGGGGGTTTCCTTAAAGGACTCCTTAAAGGGATCTGTACGGTTCCTTAAAGGGATCCTTAAAGGGATATATATATATATATATATATATATATAGGGTTCCTTAAAGGGATCCTTAAAAGGATCTATATATAGGCTTCCTTAAAGAGATAGTTAAAGGGATCTATAGGGTTCCTTGTAAGTAAGGTATTAAGTAGCACCGCTTGAAATAGCGAAGCGCCTGAAATCCCAAAAGCAAAGCCAAGGCTGGACCATGATGGGCGTGGCAGCCTCGGCAAGCAGAAGTCGGCCAAAGCTTTGGAGAAGCTTCGTCTGTCGGTTTTGGCTGAAGTGTCTGAAGGAGATTTTGCATGCTGGGGGAGAGAGGGGGGGTGTTGGGAGTGTAGGGATTGTAAAGTATAGCTTCGTCGGAAAGTGTTGAAGTAGAGGGTAGGGAAGGCAACCTTTGGATTTTGCATGTTTGATGTCTTTTTCGGGTCGAGGGTTTGCGCCTGGTACTGATAGACTAGTGCGTGGAGCTATGCCTGTAGATTTCTGGGTTGGGGGTGTGTGCAATGTTCTTCCACTCAAACCATGTCGAAATCACATGCTAAGAAACCCTGCGCGAGTCGTTCGTCGTGCATGGGTCAAGAGATCTCAGGATATCAAAGGGCACCAGTCCCAAACCAGCAAAGAAAAACCCTAAAACAATGCACATCACCCTATGTCTACCCCTGTTGCTGGGATTCTTCAGCCCCATGGAGCGATCCTCGGCTCTCCCTTGAACCTGAAGTTCACGACCAGAGAGAACCCAATCCCCCTTAATTAAGGAATGTACCTTAAACCATAAGATTAAGCCCCCGAGAAATTACGGTGTAATCCTTATTAAGGGGCATTGGGATCCCAAACCTTAAACCCTTGAACCCCTACATAATCCCTAACCCTACACCCTAAACCATATATGGTTGCGCCCCGGCGGGCCCCCCCCCCTCCCCCCCCCCCCCCCCCTCCC